GTCCCCCGACTGCCTTCTGCGTACGTGCGGGCGCCACGGCACCTGGCTGAGCACCGGCGACGGCGATACGGCCTGGGCGTGCTTCGAGTGCGTCGGCCGCGGCGAGGCCACCTCGGGCTCGCACACCGCCGGTGGCGAGCGGAGCTCGGGCGCAGTGTCAGCGGCGGCGGCGCTTCTCACGGCTGGCGCGGCGTTGCTATCCATCCAGGCGGACGCTTCGTCCGCTCCCGCTGGCGAGGGCGATGGCGGAGGCCCAGATGCGGCTGGCAGTGCAAGCCCGAGCGGCAGCAGCAGCAGCGGCAGCGGAGGTCAGGCCGCAGCCCCTGCCGAGCCGCCGCCGCTGCCTCCACGCTTTGGAGGGCTGGCGGCCACCTGTTCTGCATCGGGTGCGGGTAATGAACGCAGAATGCCAGGATGGCGGGGCTCGCCAAGCAGCGCCAGTGCCCGACGGCGCCCAAGAACGCGAGGCGGAAGGCGGTCCTCGGAAGGTTGAGGCGCGGCCTGCAGCCTGCAGGGGCGGGATCGATCGGTGCTCCCGAGCCCCTGCGGCGCCTCCGCAGACGCTTGGGCTTAAACCTTTATTTCACAGTGCGCATAACTGTACCTACACTCAGCGCCTCCCGTTCGGAGGCATTTACTTAGCAGAAGCCGAACCATGTTCGTAGGCTTCCCGACGCATGGGGTCGGGTTCCGATGCCATGGGCAATGCAGTTAGCTCATCGAGGGGCCAGGTGCCTATGGGACTAGTTGCGCTGCTGATGGCTAGGTTTTTTGCTGGCTGTTCTCGTTCAGTGTGCATAGCATTGGCTCGGTGCACGTTGCAATGCGTCTGCGCGTCAAGCGGAAGCCGAACCTGGCGTGTAGGCATCTGCGCGCATAATACGGGATCGGACTTCGATGCAAGCGGCACATCAACCGGTCCAGTGTTTGGCCAGGAGATTTGGGACGAGATGCTTCGCTGCTGGCTAGGTGCATCGCTTGCCGCTCTCCCAGTGCGCATGGTATAGGGTCGGTGCATGCGGCAATGCGTTCTGGGAGGCTGAACAGTGGGCGCAGGTGGCTTGCTACCGACGCTCTGGGCCAGGCTCTGCGCCATCGCTGAGCATCGATGTCTGGCGTGTGGCTTTGGGTCGGCGTGTTGGCGGGACTGTGCTGCTCAGCTTTGGCTTCCATATCCCGCCCGTCCTGGACGTGCACTCTGCGTGCCGCCGTCTGCCTGTTGATGGCAGGCCCCCGCCGTGGCATGTCCTCTGCTTAATGTAGCTTCGCTGGCGCGTTCGCGGCAGCGCCGCCGCTCTGTCAGTGCCGTTTGGAAAATGCTCGCCGCTCAGTGCGCATGGCCTCGGATCGGTGCACGCTGCAATCTTTCCGCGCGCGCCTCGACGGCGCCTGCGTCGGAGGCTGCGCTTCAAGCGGAAGTCGAACCCGGCATGTAGCCATCCGCCCACACCTGGGGTCGGACTCCGATGCCAGCGGCAATGCAACCAGTCCGCTTTGCGGCCCGGTGCCTTAGGGACGAGTTGCTCTGCTGCTAACGAGGTGTATCGCTTGCCGCTCTCTCAGTGTGCATAGCATGGCTCGATGCATGCTGCAATCTGTTGCCGCGCACGGCTTTCGGGCCTTGTGCGGAAGCCGGGCCAGGTGCGCAGGCTCGCCGACACACAGGAAGGGGCTCCGACTGCACTGGCAAAGCAACAGGTCCCTACGTCTGGCCAGGAGCCAAGGGATAGTTGCTCTGCTGTTGCTGAGGTGTCTTGCCGCTCGCCGGGTGTGCTTAGCTTCGGCTCGGTGCCCTGGTGCATGGCCTCTCGCTCGGCACACTCGTGTTGCCCTGTCGCGTAGAGTGTGCTCCCAGCCTCCGGTATGGGATTCTGAACCGTGGGCGCAGGTAGCTTGCTACCGGCGTTCTGGATCGGGCTCCGCGCCATCGCAGAGCAAGGAGGTCCAGTGCTTGGCCTCGTGCCGTGGGGGCTGCGATGCTCTGCTTTGGCTTCCTTCTTCCACGCGTCGCAGGACGTGACTCTGCTGCCGCCGTCTGCTTCTTGTGGGCGGTGAGCCCTAGCCGTGGCATGCACTCTGTTTGATGTAGCTGCGCTGGCGCGTTGCAGCTTGGCTGCGTACCAGCCCGCCTGTTCGTTGCATTGCCCGCGCGCCATGGCGGAGGCCGAACTGAGAGGGCAGGTGGCTCCACGGACACTTTGGTTCGCTTGCGACCGCCATCGCAGAGCAAGCAAAGTATCTATCGAGTGGCTTCGAGCCAATGGGGATGAGTTGCTCTGCTTTGGCGCGTGTGTCCTTCTGTTGCGGGTTGAGTCGCCGTGATTGCTCGGATGCCGTTTCACCGCTTTCTTCGGCCAGGGAGGTGGGCGGTTTCTAGGCATTCAGGTGAATCTGCGAGGGTGCCTTGGGCATGAGACCGTGCGCTGCCGCCGCAAAGCCAGAGAGAAGCGCCTCCGTCCGAGGTGCAGTATGAACTGGGAGCTCCTGACCTCTTTAGACGCGTGGATCATCATCATCGTCCTCACCATGATCAGCAACATTATCATCATCTCCACCATCATCATCAGCCTCCTCCTCCTTTTCCTCTTCCTTCTCCTTCTCCTTCTCCTCCTTCTCCTCTTCCTCCTCCTTCTGCCGCCGCAGCGCGATTTGGCGGCCCGCGGAGCTCTGGTGGGGATCCCTAGCCGAGTTGGTGGCCCTGGGAGCTGTGTTTGCTGCCCCGGAAGTGCAGGGTGTGGCCTTCGTAGATCGGCAGGCGGTCCTCGTAGCTCAGCCGCTGTCCCTCGTAGCGCTCAGCTATTGGCCCTCCTGGCTCTACCTGTGGCCCTCGTAGCTCAGCTTACGGTCCTCCACTGAGCTGAGCTTCTTGCCCTCGTCCCTCTGCAGGTTGCCCTGGTAACTCTGGCGGAGAGTATCCCAGCTCAGCAGGTGGCCGTGTTGGCTGAGCTGGCGTCGTAATTCAGCTGGCTCTCGTAGCTCAGCAGGTGGCCCTAGTAGCTCGGCTTGTGGCCCAGTGGTCCGGGCAGCCCAAGGCGGCAACGCACCCCCTTTTAGGGACGCTCAGCGACCCTGCTCATCCCGCCGCTCCCGTCGCCCTGGGGGCAATGGTCGAGGGCGCTGGCGGCTCTCGAAACTCTGCCGGCAGGGTGGGCGGCAGGGTGAGGAAACCATATGCGGTGCAGTCGTCCAGCCGTAGTTGTTGTCGTCGTATGCGGCATACCCGTGATCCACCAGTACCTCCACGACAATGTACGTGGTCACCCATTCGGGTTCCTCGGCCTTGTCGTGTCTTGTGTCGTACATTGTGTTGCAGTTGTCGCAATTGCTTTGGAGTTCGCCGTACTTTTTGATGCTGTACTTTTTGACGCCGTACTTTCTGATGTCGAACTGGACGGGCGCGCTTCACCACCGAGTTGACATCCTTCGGAGTGGTATAGCCGCCTGTCCGCGCAGCGTAGCCCAGCCTACGCGCTGCAGCGCGTGTTGCTCTCGGCCTCCAACGGCCGTGGATGGTCTCGTAGCCCTTCGCGACCTAGATTGCTGGCGCCCGCGGCCTCCGTTCCGCCATCGCGCGGCGGCAGGCCGTGCGGGGTGAGGCCGGCCCCGCGGCCACGGGGCCACGAGTGCTTGGCATGGATCTTGCATATGCCCTTGAGTTACATGGGTACGGAACCCTCCTCTTCCTCATCCTCCACCTCATCCTCTCAGTCATCATCGTCATCATCATCAGCATCATCATCAGCATCATCAGCATCATCATGATCATCATCCTCAGCATCATATCATCAGCCTCCGCATCCGCATCATCAGCATCAGCATCATCATCAGCATCATCGTTATCATCATCATTATCACCATCACCATCACTGTCAGCATCACCATCATCATCATCAACACCATCACCACCATCATCAACGCAACAGCATCATTCGCATTATCAGTATCGTTGCATTCGTAATCATCGTCATCATCATCACCACCATCATCAACATCATCACCATCACCATCACCATCACAGCCGTCGTCAGAATCGTCATCGTCAAATACCGTCAGCACCATCATCAACATGATCACCATCAGCATCATCACCGTCATCGTCATCATTATCGTCGTCAGCATCACCACAATCATCAACACCATAATCTATCATCAACACCTTCATCCTTGCAAACACCAGTATGTACAGCATCAGCATCGTAATCATGCTCATCGTCAACGTCGACGTCATCATCATCATCATCACCATCAGCAACGTTGACACTGTCGTCATCACCATCATAATCGTCATCCGCATCATCATCATCAACAACATCATCATCACGATCAAGCCCAACACCATTACAACCACCATCATCACCACCACCATCACCATCATCACCATCACCACCATCATTGTCTTCAAACGTATCATCGCCATCATCCTCCGCATCGTTATCGCCATCTTGATCATCATCATTACCATTATCAGCAGCACCAGCACCAGCATCACCATCAGCATCACCACCATCATCATCATCATCATCAGCAGCAGCAGCATCATCATTATCAGCAGCAGCAGCATCAGCATCAGGTGCGCCGACGCGATGCTGGCGGCGCTGGGGCACTGAGGGCCCTCGCGCGCTCCTTAGGCGTGGCATGTCGGGAGTGCGCGGCAAGAAGGCCTCCGCACCATGACCATTATCACTGCCACCATCACCACAATTATCGCCATCATCACCACCAGTAGCATCATCACCATCTACCAGCATCATCATTATCAGCACCACCACTATCACCATCAGCATCAGCATCAGCATCAACATTGTCATCATCACCATCATTTTCACTCTCATCATTATTATAATAATCATCCACATCAGCATCACCATCATTATTAACATCATCATCACCATCATCATCATCCTCATCATGCTCTTCCCGCTGATCATCATCCTCCTTTGCCTCCTCACGCTTTCTTGATCCAGACCCCAAGTCGCTTCTGCTCCTCGGCGATGGCCCAGGCTCGTGGGTTTCCCATGCAGCCAGTGCACCCACTGCGGCGACCATTTGGACCCCGCCTTCGACCTGACCAGGCAGCAGGGCCAGCCTGCCTTCTGTCTCGTCTGCTGGGAGGAGGACGAGGAGGAGGACGAGGAGGAGGAGCAGGAGGAGGAGCAGGAGGAGGAGGATGAGGAGGAGGGGGAGGAGAGGGAGGAGGAGGGGGAGGAGGAGAGGGAGGAGGAGGAGGAGGAGGAGGAGGAGGAGGAGGAGGAGGAGGAGGAGGAGAGGGAGGGGGAAGAGAAGGTTTCTCCTCCCGACACTCCCTGTCTCCTGTTATTCCTCCTCTTCGTCCTCATCGATCCCTCCTCCGCCCGCAGCATCATTATCCGCCTGCGCCTCGTCATCCCTGTGATCTTCCTCGTTCCTGGACCTGCGGCGCAAGATGGCGGCAGTCGCTGGACCGTGTTGACCGAGTCGGCGATCGATGGAGATCTGGGGCGGAAGCTTCCTCGGGGAATTACTTGAAGGATGGTTCCGGCCGAGGCAGACCGGCCCAGGCCGAAGGCAGAGGCCCATCCAGGCGTGGCCCAAGGTGTTGCCGATGGTCCGCGGCATCGAGATCGCCCGACGGTTTCGCCACGTTCGGGGGCCCATCTCTGCGCTGGTGGTCACGCTGATGGGCGACGACTGGTACCCAGCGGGCCCCATGGGGGGGCGGGGCTCTTCCCCGACGGCAGCCGCGACGTGTGGACTTTTCCCGTCGCGGATGCCTTGGCAGATGGTTCCCGTCGGCGGCCTGTGGAGACGTTCGGCGACTCGGTCGTTGGTGCTCTGTGGCGCGACGCTGCAGCGCAATGGTGTGGAGGGGGCCTCGTCGAAGGAGGTGCAGATCTCTCAGGTCTCCGACGGTTTGTTCGGCAGCTGCGACAGCTCCCAGGGGAGGCATCGGTTGGAGGAGGTCATAGTCGCCGTCGCGGTTGGCGGCACGTGGCCCGGTTCTCGACTGGCCGAGGCAGCGTTGTTTGCAGAAGACCATGTCGAGGTTCTGTGTTGCAGGTGCGGGCACGAGCTGGAGTCTCCCTTGCCCGTCACTGGGGCTGTGAGTGCAGCAAAGGCTCGGAGGCGCACGACGCCATCGAGCCGCTCATCGCCAGAGCTGGCGCCGAGGCCCAAGCCGATCGTTCCCTGCTTCTGGCTCCGCGGACTGGTCCCGATGTCTTAGTCGGCTGTCAGCCCACCCGCGGACGCAGAGGTGTGGGCCCCCGGGGGCGTCGACAACGTGTTCCCTGGGCACGGCCGGAGCTGGTCGCCCACGTTCGCGTTCGGCCATGCTTGCGGTTTTTTTTTTTTTTTTATTTGTTTGTTTTTTTTTTTTTTCTTTTTTTTTTTTTTTTTTTTTTTTTTTGTTTTTTTTTTTTTTTTTTTTTTTTTTTTTTTTTTTTTTTTTTTTTGTTTTTTTTTTTTTTTCTTTTTTTTTCCCCTTATTTTTTTTTTTTTTGCGGCGGGGCCGGCCACAAGTTCCCCAAATTGCGACGTGTCGGCGTCGGCTTCGTGGTCCTGGACAGCGCGTTACGGCAGACCGTCAAGATGATGCATGGACCTCTCTCTCTGGCAGCAGGCAGACTGTCCATCGAGGCGAGCTGTTGGCGCTGATCCGATGCGTCGAGTGCCCGTCGGGGCACGTCGTCTTCGTTGCCGACAGCCTGCAGCCAGCTGGCGGTGCGCGACGGCTGGTGGCAGCAGCTCGAGCTGAGGCCCCACGGGCCAGATCTCGATTCGCGGTGGAGGCTGGGTCGCGCGCTTCAGCAGCGCGGCCCAGAGGGCAGAGCGGCGATGGCGGCCGTGCGCGTGGACTCGCACCTGCATGCGGAGCAGGCGGTGCAGCGGGGCGGCTTGTGAGCGCTGGTCCGCGGCAACGCTGCCGCCGATCTGGCCGCTGGATGCGCCGCCGATGCCGCGCGCTTGCCCGCTGGGGAGAGGGCGAGAGTGTTTCAGACTTGGGCGTTGGCGCCCAAGGCACGGCGGCGGCTGCCGCGACCCACGCTGGACGAGGCGCCGAGGCGCCAGGCGCGCGGTGGCGGCCCTCCTCATCCGCCTCCCCCTTCTTCCTCCTTCTTCCTCCTCTTCCTCCTCCTCCTCCTCCTCACCTAATTCGGGAACCCACTCTCCCCTCCGCCCCCGCTCGCCTCCCCCTGTCTCTGTTCTCCGTCGTTCTCCCGCTTCGTCGTTCTCCTTTCGTCCGTCGCTCCTCTGGAGAGTGGGTTTCCTCCTCGGGGCGGGGCGAGTGCCTCGGAGGCCTGCCCGTCGCCCGCAGCGACGTGGGCTCGGCGCTGGAGGCCAGAAGGGGTTTCCCGCCCCCCGCCCCCGAGGGGTAATACGATTTGCGACTGCCTGTGTACGCTTCAGCACCACAGGGTGCACGGCGCGCGCTACACTCGACCTCATCGCACTCGATCGATGACAGCTCGGGGTAGGGCTCTGGTTGCACGTGCGCACGCGCAGTCAGGGTACGGCACAGAC